AAGAAGTTAAGTGTTCATGCGCGAGACCGAAGCTTTTGGGCTCGATTCTCGCACACAGGCTTGTGGTTGCGCACTGCTGATGGGACGAATAAGCCGGCTAGTAGTTCCAGGTTTATATTGGGATTTTTCGCTCTACATAATTAATTTCTTCATTTATTCACCTAATTTTACTAATTTTATTCTACCTGACTCATCTTCTAAATACAAACAAAACTTGCATTTTTTGTCTAGCTTTACAAATCAATTTATCATTATTTTGTGCCTGAATTCCTGAGTTTTCCACTCTTCCACCTTATTGGCTTTGATTTCTTTTCATAAGTTATCTCGTTCTTTCGCTGAAGGTCATTTGTATATACAAATATATGCATGTACTGTGCAGTATGATCGATTTTTGAGACAGTAAAAAGTTTCTTCACAAAGAATAATCTTATCACGTACATTTTTGTTCACTAGCTAAGTTTTTGTCAGCTCTTAATCATCACGTTACCTTTTTGCGCTTTTGTTTTGTTTTGTTTTGTTCTGGAAAGTTATAATGCCAATCTGACTGTTGTAAATCGAGCAACTGTTACGAAACAACATTTAATTGACATACAAAACTGTACGTAGAATTGAGATTAGTCATTGTGAAAAAGTTTCTTAATCTTGAGAGGAGGCAGTCGTTGAAGTTAAAATGATTGTCATGTTGGCAGTTATTGATAAAATAGTTTGTTAGGTAAAAATTTGATCTGAATATTGAAGAGTTTCGACTGATATTTCAGTCATGATGCTGTCATGTATGATGAAAGATGAGAATAACATAATGATTTTGCTGGTCATGCTAGATCCTACAGAATTCGCCTAGAAACCCTCTTAATCTTCTAATTTGTTTTTGGAAATTTGAATTCCTTATTTTCGCGCCACCCGCACCTCTTATTATCTTCAGTTCATGTTTTCCACATGGAAGGACCTATAACCTCATTGGTTAATTTTCTCTTTTAGTGTGCTATTATGTAAACTCTCCCAAGGACATTTTTTGTATTGTGCTGCTTGTGGATTATACAATCTTCCTACTGACTTTGTACTTCTTGCTCTAGTTAGAGTCAGCTGGCCTAAGCCGCTGAGAATAGATATGCTGTCCTGTTATTGTGTCACTGGTTACGTTCTAGCGCAAGGTCAACAGATTTGTTGGCTAAATCTAACATCATTATATCGAAATGATTAGACAGGCTACCTATTCCTTAATGAATTGAAGCACATAACCTTCATCAAAATATGATATTTCTACTGTGATTCAATTATATATTGTTCATTGTCACATAATCATGTGATAATGAAATAGGCTAATTAAAATAAATGTAAAATAAATTCACAATTCAACAGTACAAAGTCTAATGGATTAAGAGTTTTACCACTTTCATAAAAAATTATTCATTCATGCACTATGTTCTCATTATGAAACATTTATGCAAATAAAAAAAAGGAAGGAATTGTAGACACTCTTTTTTTTTAAAAATATTTCTGAATTATTTTATTTTTATTCTTGTCTATTGTTAGAGGATATATATATATATGTTTTGATTGTAGATAATTTAAATATATATAAATTTATTTTAGGCTTTTTTTTTCATATTCTGTTGAATGTATTTTTTTTTCTTTAACTATAAAGTCCGATTTCTGTTTTTTTTTCTTACCATTTCTTGTGTGTGATCAAGCTTGTGATATATTTTATAAATGAATGAAATATTCGACTAGTTTTATTCACTTCCGATAATGCATTCTTTGAATTCATATACAAATTCGATTGTATTGCTTAGTTGTTGTTGTTTACGAACCGATTTTGACAATCGAATAATCGGCATATATATGTATATGATTTTCATTGATCACATTGAGAAAAAAAACCAAAGTCATGCTAGATCGTTTTACTTTTTTTTTACCACAAGATGAAATGAGTTAATCAAGCTTCTGAAATAGAAATGAGACATATACAACTCATTGATATTGTAGAAAAAACTAAAGCAAAAAAGCTTCAAGAGACTATTACACTAGCATGAAATCCATTTATATTTACACTTAATCTATCAAAGTAATAACATGGTGGAGACGATCAACAACAAACAGTAATATCATATTGGTTAAATTCTATGACGTAGTTGAATCAAATAGGTTAAAGGTCAAGAGGTTGGTTCCTTTCCAATGCTACTGTAGTGAACGAGAACACAGGTGGGGCAACCGGATTGTATTTAGCGAAAATTACAGAGTTACTCAGTAAAATCGGAAAACCATATCGTAAATCGTTAATTTGCAAAATATCAGTTCATCATATTGAACTGGACTGTTCCTGTTGCAAAACATCAATCCATTGTCAGTATTGATGCGTTTCATACAAATTCCATTGTGTTCTAACTCTTGCTTTCTTGATCTTCCCCTATCTTCTGCTGCCAGACATTACGTTGACACTCACGTCATATACTACTAATAAGTAGCTCGCACCACACTACCACCAACTCCTGTATACGACAAAACATTTATGCCCGGAAAGAAAATGATTGATCATACTTAATATTCCTTGAACATGTTTTAAAAGGTCAAACGTAGGACAAATGAATTGGTTCATCAGATGTAATTTCCCCATTGAATAGATGTTCTACGTCTTTTCATATTTGTGAAACTACTATTTAGTTGCCTATATCACTTTAAGGTATTATTTCAGTCAGAAAAGCTTTCTTGGTATAATCAGTGATTAAACTGTTGATTTGCTTTGGAAAATATGTTCAAGAGTTTTGATGGTTATTCATGAATACACAATTAAAAATGAATCTAAACTTATTCATGATTGATGTGTCTCTGCAATTAAATAGGAAATGAAATCACTAATTATATCAGGAATGACTTTCTGACTGAAATAACACTTCAAAAGTTTTTTATTCAAAGAATTAGTCATTTGAATTATACGAAAAGCAGTAGAATGTACATTCAGTGCAGCAAGATTATACCCTACTTTCTTCAGTCTGCCAATAATGATTTCAGAAAATAGATTATTTACCTATAATATGGGGTTTTGGCGATTGTTAACTTACTCATTAAATTTATGAATCGATCAATGTTAGACTACCATTAGAAACCTGGAAGTACTCAGTGTTTTTGTCTGCTTCTTTGTTTACCATTCTGACTACTGTTTCAGCGCCAGTTATATTGACTGTACGACTAGGAAAATACATTATCATACCTTTGAACGTAATCGCTCAAGGACGGAAGAAAACAATAAGAAGCTTTATTTTTATCCTATTAAATTGATACTTAAAATCACGTCATCACAAAATATCAGCTTTAAAAGTCATTACTCTCATGTAATACTACCTTTAAATCTTTCTTCTTTTCTCTTTCCATAATTAAATTTCATTCTTATCGAGTTGTACCTGAGTTTTATCTTTTTTCATTAAGTGTTTGTTTACACTAGATAAGAAAATTTCAAATTTTTTCAGTGTTGTATCGTTAAGCAAATAATATTTGATGTTAAAAATACGTTTATATATATATATATATATATATATATATAATATAGATTGCTTAACATTATCTAATCTGTTTAACAATCTTGTGTGGAAATATATTTCTTTCGTAACATATATAGTTAGTTTACAGATAGTTATCTAATGTGCTTAATACTTACAAGATTCTTGTAATAATATTTTTATTTACTGTGATTTGTTCTGACCAATAGGAGCAAACGTTGGATCCTAATTCTACTGTATCTCATCGACGTAGTTTAGTTGAAGAAATGCTAGAAAGTATAGAACACTCAATTCATGTACCAACACTCAATGGTGGTGAAAGCAGAATATTAACCAATGAAATGTTAGTGGATGTAAGTAAATGAATATTAAAATAAAAACTGTAATAACTGTAACCAAATGATCTACTTTCTTGTGTGTGTGTGTATATATATATATTAACGTTTAAATGAAAGTGTTCATGTGATATTGAGCTGTAGTTGGATAAAGTCGAGTTTCGTGTAATTCAGAGAATTTCTATAATTGTTTATTTCATAACACTGACTTCTAACTGTTAGATTCGTCACTAGGTACGCTTGAAGCTATTACGAATTTACCTTAGTCGATAAACGTGAACGAAACAATGAACCAGCTCCAGGTAGGCCACCTTGATCCCAAAACTGCAAAACAGAAGTCTTGTTAAGCGTAGGAAGTATATTCTACAAACACACAGCAAGTACACAATACAATCAAGCACACAACTCTCATTTATTCATACTTGGGACAGTCACAAAAATGGCACACTAAAATACACAGCAGCCAATCACAGCCATGGATTTTCCTGGTAGGAAATGAAATCTCAAGGTCAACTGATCAACCCATGTTCGCCAACGTGAAATCCAAAATAAGGCATTTATCAAGCGAGTTCAGAGGATCTAGCATCCCCAACACTAACTTTCTCATAAAACCTCAAAGCTGTTAGTTAGTTAACACAGTTCATCTGATAAATAGGAACTTGTGAATCATTAGGGTTTATTATCATAAATTTTCATTGTCAAATTATATTATTCCCATCACAGATTTCTTTTAATTTCTAGTCGAATGCTTACACCATTCAATGCTCAATTAACCAATGCATTGATGTGAATCATACATACATTTGTTAACTTTATATTTTATCAGTTTTAGTTGGTTAACCGGCAATCAGTCAACCATTAAGTCGTTGAATTAATTTAAACATAATCTGTGAGCTTGAATCCCTTGTAAAAAGTTGTAAAAAATATCCTTCTATTTACAAAGAGATATTATTATAATTGTTATCAGTTAAATTTTTTGGTTGGATTAAATGGCATATTTAAATACAACTACTCCATATTGTGCAATTGATTTTACATTAGCTAGCTATAGTTTTAAAGTATGAATTAATTTGGTAGAGCAAATAATCCAAACCTTTAAACAGAAAAAAAGTTCTGAAAAGATTCCATAAGCTTAGATTACTATAATTATACAATGTTGAAAAGTATGCATATCAGAGTAAAATACTACATGAACTGTATTATAATTAGTAAGTAAACGTACTTTTTTTTAAAAAAAAGTTTAACAATAAGTGATATTTTATACTGTTGTTGCCTGAAAATTAATACACTCTTTCTTTGTACATATGAACAGGAAATATATATTAGCAGGTTGCTATAACTTATTACGGTGGTCAACTATGTATTTACGCTTATTTTTAGCGAAAGGATACTAAACTTTAAGCCTAGTGTATCTCTTTCGTCATGACTAAAATATCAGTTGAATTCCCTTAAGAAGTAATTTGTTTTTTATATTTGTTCTTCTGATAAATGATCCCAGTGTATGTGCACAACATAATAACTCTTCATCTAAAGCATGCAAATTTTACAACTGAAGTAAAAAAAATTACCGAAAAATCACTGGATTTTGATGATACTTTCTTTCTATGTACAATTAGTCCAAAAAAAATAGTAGTGACTAACCCACTTACCTACACACCCATTACCTCTCGCATAAAGTATAAGCTACTGACTAGAATTCTGCTACCAACTCTGTCCTAAGCTCTCTTCTTTCCAGTTATTTTCAAGTAGTATCCATTCGAAATAATCACTATGACTTCTGTGTTCGTAATTTCTCATCCATTCATTAAGTAATCTTTTGAAAATGTTTATTGTTTGATCTTATTCCACTTAATTTATTCATTGTATCTCTCATGTATATATATATATTCCGAATCTTGCCTTTCATCATTCTCTGAATTTATTTTTTTTTTCTAGCTTAGTGCTAACTTTCCTGCTCATTGGTCTAGTTGTGATTTAAATTCAATTTACAAATCTGAAGATGATGGTTTTTGTTTAAATACAGTCTATAGAAAGTGTAAAGATGTGGAAGGTAGTGTTCTATTGCTGATACGTGATACCATGGGTATTGTATTCGGTGCAGTGATGTCAGAAACAATGAAATGTAGTCAACATTTTTATGGAACTGGTGAAACATTTGTCTTTCATTGGAAACCAACATTTAAAGTAAGTAGTATGATTATTATTATTATTATTATTATCGCCTTAATTTTGCATATTATTTCACTAGAACATAAATATTATTATTATTGTTATTTTTATATATTGTTTATTCAATATTTTCAAGGTATAGTTTACAACTTTATACAAAGTAAATATTTATTCTAAAAGGATTTGTAATAGAATTCAACCAACTGCTAGAGTTTGATTTCACCCTACTCTAAAAACAATAAACAGAAACTTAGCAAAATATTGCAATTTTCATGTATTAATTAACCACATGGATTAGCATTATTCTGTTTAAGGTTTATGAATTTAAATCAACATATGTTGCTGTAACTTTTAAACATTTGTACCAAAAAAAAGTTAGCTAAACTCAGATATTTCAAACAAGTGTTTAATAAACAAAATTGTGTAAATACATATATATATATATATATATATATATATATATATTTTTTTTTTCAAATACTATTTTTTTCACGTTGTTTAGTTACATATTTGTTGATAATTCTCTGATAGATACTTTCAGCTGAGTACATGGAGGATCTTTTAATCTGGTTTTCAACACTCCCTCTAAATTTACCAGGCTTTTTAATGAGGTTTATACACAATTTCAGTAACTTTGATTGTGTACTACTATGTTGGGCGCAAATGAACTAGTCCAAGCCCTTCAACAAATTAATTAATCCATTCTTCTCGAGTTGTTCACACATCTTTTCACTTTGTCTATTATTCACTTATAACATTGGGTGATTTTACTTGTATAGCATATGTGCATTGATTGCTTCGCTTATAAAATGTTTAGCTTATTTTTGTCTGACTATGAATAATGAATCATACGATGGTGGAAAAAATGTGTAGCTGAGGTGGGTGATTGTGGTGGTGGTGTTTCGTTCTCTGAGTTGGATGTTTTGGTTGTGGAGTTTTCATTGTCCTTCTGAACAACATAATTAGCATAAACTTAAGATAAAAGTGAAATATTTGAATTTCTCCACGTTTGACCCGTAACTTCTTGTTCTGTTGACCTGGATCTTGATTGGTTGTTGGTTGACCTTAAAATTGTCGTTGTTTCTACCTTTATTTCAATTGTATCCTCCTTTGATCTGGAAATACGTTGCTAAGCATAAATTGATGAATTCTAGGAGACTTTGTCTCTGATGTTTCGTATATATTGGTAAATTTGTGTCGTTCGTGAGGAGCACAAATCTATGCTCAACAACTTATTTCCGATTCAACAACAGAATGTTTGAACAAGCGAACTGAACACCAGTGGGATCACCAATATTTTGACTCATTGAGGAAGGTGTGATGCAGAGAGTAGAACCATCGGTTTTACCAGTGATCAAGCTAAAATTATGGGTTCGCTATGTATACGGCGCATTCGTCATTATTGAAAGGGACGAGATAGAGAACATCTACAATTGGATCATCAACGTCTTTGATGACATAAAATTCACAAAGTTGAAGGAATCAAACTACAATCTATCATTCCTGGATGTACTAATTATCAGAACTCATACAGGTAAACTGGAGACTCAAGTATTTCGGAAACCAACCCACACAGACCTAATTCTCAACAACAGTAGCAACAACCCAAGTGTAGGATTTAATTTGTCCTACAGATGAACTTCTTAAACTGTAAAAGCAATATTGGCGAGCACAGAGTCTATGGGAAAGCTATAGTTATAACAAGATCAACTTCTGCTTTAAACTTTATCTGTTTCTAAACATAAAAACAATTAAATTAGTACAATAAATAAGGAAATTACAATTATCAAGTAAGACGAGCAAACATACCGACCAATATAGCGTGTCTTTTGAAGATGAATCAAGTTATGAGTCACATCAGTATAATAAGATAATAGTGTCCTTCAATTATTAGGTCATTTACAACAAAGAAAGTTTACAGACATGTCAGATCAGATCACGTGGTGGGCGCTTAAACCACAATTTGATTGGTTAGTTATGACATAACTACAATTAGTTATAAAATAACTAACACTCCCCCCGAAGCGGTCACCACGTCTAGACCCCGTTGCCGTCGCGCTCGAACAATCGACCTCTTCCAGTAGGCATAGGTTTCGTGTATTTCGGTTGATCTCTACGGTATCTGTCTTCAATAGAATCGTTCTGTCTCGGCCATCTGTAGCACAATTGACCTGTCTAACTATAGCTTTCGCCCACAGATTTCTCGGCAAGCCAGTATTGTTTACTAACACTGAGTCTCTATGTTGTGGATTCCTTCTCATTGACTTTATGATATATTTCCATATACCGCCTCCAGGATCAAAGATTAAATGTTACATACGACTCATGAACTTTAAAAAATAATTGGTCCGTTCGGACATTCCACTCTATCCCCAGCGTTTGTTTACTCATCTCGTTGGACTCGTATACGGTAATGTTTCCTTCAGTATGATCTTCCTCGTTAATTGCACCTAAAAACTCACACACTCTATTACGTAATCCACTAGTTTGTTAGTTATACTAACCATAGAATATCTTTACTCATTACAATATGTTTGATTGTCATAAGAAAACATTCTCAGCAAAAAAATGTGCATTATTGCTGTAAGTTTCACTTTAACTCTAATATTCTGTTTGTAACTATTTTAAAACACATTTTCTGTCAGTGTTTATCTGCACTTAATCTCTACTTCTAAATGTTGTTTAGCATTTCCTTAACTCATGTTATATTTAAAACAATTATACCCTTTGATAAATTTTGATACAACAGTGAGAAGACGTAATTGATCTGAAAAAGTGTGGGGTATTTGCGCCATACATTTTAAACAATCTGGTCACACATATTTACTTGTCAAGGCATTTTATATGAAAATTAATAAAAGGTCAATTAAATAAAGTTCAATTAGACATAAAGTGATAATTGTTAATGAAGGAGAGAGAAAATTAACGTAATATAGAAATAATGAGAAAGGGTAGGGTCACATTACCCTAGGCCATAAAATAACTTAAAGATTATCAGGATAAATTCAAGGTTATAACAAATTGTTTCTGTACATATAAGGGAGGTTTTAATTTACGAGTAGCCAAGGCTTCCATAAACCTCAAAATTCATTCCTCAACGTTTTTGAAAGCTGCAGATGTCAATCTCGCGATCGATGAACATGGTTTTCTGTTTCCCACATTTATCGGGTCCTCTGAAGCTAACTGATTTTGAAGTACATGTTCCATAACCCTTGATTGCAAAGTCCGATTACTCCTCCCTATGTATGTGTATGCACAGACATGTAAATTGATAAATGCAATCGGATGTGATGTAATCATCCGAGCAATGTCTAGACCTATGTGGAATCATGGGCTTAGTCTTTTCAATTACAATCAGTTTAGCAGCCTAGTATGTTTTCTTTATGGCTGCCTATAGTTGCTGTCCTAATATCAAACCATTTGATTCGCTTTTAAATGTTGGAGTGATATAAACGTTTTTCTGTCCAGCAGAATGAAAAACAGGCTTTTGTCGTAACTGATTTCTACACCTATTGATGAAGTTTCGCGGATAACCGTTTGAAATCGATGTGTCATTCAAGAATTTCGCATGGTTTTCAAATGTATCCGTGGTGCAAATTCTTTGTGCCTTATTGAGGAGGCAAAAACTGTTGAAATTTAAATACTGTCAAGTCTAGGTGGGCTTTCTATAATCTGACTGCTTTATAGTCCCATGTATCTATAGAACATATGAAACATGTACTTAAGTGGCTTCAAATGACCGAATAAACGAGGGAAACAGTAAACCATGTTCATCCATCTCAAAACACATATTTGAGACAGGGCATACGAATGACATTGTATAGAAACGTATAGCGTGAATACATCTCATTTTTCAGATCAATTACGTCTTCTCACTGTTCTATTAAAAACATTTTATATTTGTTTGACGAAATCCCAATGTATTCTCTTTTAATTTCTTCCAAGAGTAAACAGAATAAAAAGAAATATACATGCCGACGTCTATAATGTTTCCATTTATGTCTCATAGAATCCATTATCAGTATATGTTGTTGATTTATCACAAATGTTCATTAGTGCATATTGCGATCTACTTATACAGACGTAGGCCAAGATCCAGGTCAGAAGTAAGTATACTTACTTACTTACTTACGCCTGTTACCCCCAATGGAGCATAGGCCGCCCACCAGTTTTCTCCAACCAACTCTGTCCTGGGCTTCTTTCTCCAGTTCTGTCCAATGTTTGTTCATTCCTCTCATATCTTTCTCTATTTCTCGGCGTAATGTATTCTTTGGCCTTCCTCTTTTCCTTTTGCCTTGAGGGTTCCATGTGAGGTCTTGTCTCGTGACGCAGTTAGGTGCTTTTCGTAGAGTGTGTCCTCTTATACAGCTAACTCTTATACGTAGACGCCTAACTAGAGCTCGTGAAGAGCAGACTCGAAAAACCCAGTCTGGTTCCAGACCTGGACGTGGCTGTATAGACCACATCTTCACACTACGACAGATCCCGGAACACAGACACACATTTAGACGTCCGACAATAGTTGTCTTCCTGGACCTAAAAGCGGCATTTGACTCTGTGGATCGTGAGTTTCTGTGGCAGTGGGATTTGATTTGACATTTGCGTCTCTGTCCTAATGTGATATGGCAACCTCAACAGATGTACGTACGTACGAAGTTTTACGTTGCAACTGACTGACTGACTGACAACTAGCGGAACAATGACGGGAAAACTAAGCTATTTCTCTGAGCCCCAACCCAGGTAACTACAGGAAGAAGTCCATGGTCAGCAAGAAGAATACGTAATTCACAAACCAACCCAAAACAAACAAACTCTCAATTCGTGAATTATATATGTATGATACAGGAAACGTCTTTGAGTTAAATAATACAGAAAATAGTAGCAAAAATCAATGACGTTTATGGTCTTTCCAGGTGAAAAACACGAACTGAAGGTTATACTGGGCGCCACTGACACGAAAGTAGGAAATTCGAATTTCTATAAATAAATTGCAAAATTAGGTAGGTGTATGGAGAGATTTCTGGGGATCTACGACCCCCGACATTCTCTTAGGATTGGTTTTGATGGTTTATGGTCACTATTCTAACTGGTTAAAGACAAAATGATTGAAATTGCCCACCAATTTTTCATGAAATTTTAGCCTAGACGGAAAAATCTCAACTTATTAATTCCTCAAACTTTAGACGATCTCCATAATAAATCAGACACCATTATAAGTTTTAACTAACTGATTTTATTGACGACATTATTGCCATGATAAAGGATCTTGTACTCTTTTTGGTACGAGCTATTTATTTACCAACTTAAGCCTTCATGGTTATCCCCACCCTTCGTGACTCTATATTGTGAATTTCACTTTCTCAGCTCATCAAACACAAGTGAATGACATTGAAATCATAGATCGACGATTGTTAGAGCAGTATCAAAAACCGGGAAGCACCGCACGAATGTGGCTTACGGTTCCTAGCATGCGACTTATCTGCAGTGCGCATCCACGACTTTTGCAAGCAGGAATCAAACCTCAGACCTTCAGTCTCACTCGCGAATCCTAACATCCAGGCCATCAGATTTCTGATGGCGGTCTAAAATACATCGATCCATGATTTCAGTGAAACTCAACATTTTCCACTACCTCATAATTACAAGAAATGACAGAGATGATGAAGTTGCTGGTTTTCTTGTGTTAATACAAGTTTAACACTATCTTTTTACTAATCCTTGTCGAATATATAGACCACATCTCCTTCCGATTGCTCAGTCTCTAAACCTCTTAGTTTGTACCAACTTTTAGCCACCTAAACTTTGTACATAATCAGTTCCTATCTCATATTTACAGACTTTTATTGCATCACTTGTGCCTCATATTAATGAATGACATGTATATCTACCTATCATATATATCATTTTGACTTAGTTTTACCACTTGATTTTCATTGTGGTTTTCTTTCAATGTAATATTCATCAAAAGTTGTTTATCTGACCTAGTTATTCAGTGTTAATGCTATGGAGCTGTGTTGTTTGTTTTTTGGCTCAGTTTTCTTAATCTACCTAAATGTTTTGTGAGTAGTTAATTTAGGATTTAGTTATTTTGTGATGGTAGATTTCGATGTCTCGCGAAATCAGACACGTAAATGTTTGTAAAAAGATTTAATTTTCATTGTTCTTCCTCAATCTCTACAACATCATTCTTGAATTTATTTTTTTTATGAAGACTTGCCATGCTGTTTGAAGTTTAATATAATTACATTTTATGTGTATTGAATACTTGAATGTTCACACTTATCAGAGTCTTTTGATTTACGGCATGTTGCGCAGATCACCTCGATAATGCCACTAAGCCCCATGAAGATTCAATTGTAAATGGATGGTGACTGACAGTCGAGGAGGCGTGTTTCGTTTCACTTGGGATTTGTCAGCTGGATTCACCTGCATCCTATATTTGATGTACACTTCGGGAAGAAAAAACACAATCTTCATCAACTCTGGGATACAGGTAAATGTGGCTGATGGATCCCAAACGGAATGAAATTCAGGTCCTGGATTTTGCTGCTAATCACTACACTCCTGGTTGAAAACTGGTCGATTGAGAGCTAATGGCGAACTGTCATCGGAATTGATTACTTCAAGTGTTATTCACCAGGGCTGTCCACTTTTTCCATCTTTGATCAACTCTGTCATAGACATGCTTTGAGAGATAACATTATCATCATCTGAATTTACAAGGATTGAACTTTTACTATAAGATTCACTTGTTGGCTTGGAATTTACCGATGACATAGTTCTATTTAGTGGGGACGCTGACAAAATGCACTCTTCTAACCACCCTAAACAATAGTGCAAGCATTTCAAGCTTAGGTTATCTCCCTCCTAATGCGAAATGTTTCAGGATTGATTTACATCGTTATATGAACTAGTGATAGTGAGTGAAGTAGAAGAGCGCGCCGACTACTTCACTTATCTTGGGAATCTCATCAGTCCTAATGGCTTGGTGACAGACGAAATTTCGTCACGGATGCAGAAGGCTCGACTGGGTTTTGCCAACTTGCGTCATTTGTGGAGTAGGCAAGACATCCGTCTAACAATCAAAGAACGAGTACTTCTCGGCAGTTCGCTCCGTCCTATGCTGTGGCTCTGAAACACCGGTAAGAGTAGATATTCGTAGATTACTAGTTTCCAATCATAGATGTCTTCGAAGCATTGCTCGTTTATCTTGGGACTATCGAGTAAGGAATGGTGTTGTTAGGAAATGAGTACTAGGTAAGGGTGGCAGATCAAAGATGAAGTATTGAATTCTTTAGTTGAAGTGGTTTGGACCTGTGTTGCGTCTGTCCAACCATCGACTGCCTCGTCGAGCTATTTTTTATGGTGTAGGATTAGGTTGGAAGAAAGCTAGGTGCGGCCAAATCATAACATAGCAGAAATCCATGAAGTCATTGACAAGTGGACTGACTCATGTTGGTAGATGTCGACTACCAGGTTGGGGTCCGCAAGATTATAGTAATCGATCGTTAGAGACCTTGAACGATTTGGCTCAAAATTGTTTGCAGTAGTGCAGGTGTATCCATTCTTTATGTTCTCTCAAACCCTAATCTTCTGATTTATTCATGATCGTTTTTTTTCTTTTTTTAATTGATTCCTGTGGAGTATATATCTCGAATGATATTTTCGATCAATAATATTTTTGAATACTGCTAATCCTTCTACTACCTCTACAACTATGGAATTTGAATTGACAATTGCGTCTCTGTGTTAATGTGGTATTGCAACTTGAACTGATGTACGTACGTATGAAGTTCTGCGTTGTAACTAACTGACTGACTGAATATGATTTCGTTAACTAGTTTTGAAAATCCCCATCTTTCCTATTCCCATACAGCATAGAAATTTATACAGAGGATAGTTTTTATGTTCTGCAAACACCATAAGTATTTACACTTTCGTACGCTTTTGTATTTCTCATTGGGAGCTATTAAGTAGTCCTGCAATACCATTCACCAATATGTAAAGATAATTAATCAAGTACTGATTTCATATTTGTTATCAAAAAGATTTCACTGAAAATTATTCAGAATGTTGTTTAGTTTTTTATGGTTTTATCCATAGGGTTGAAAAATTGATGTGTTCAACTTTTTCTACCACTCCTAAGCAATTACATTATTGTAATTTAATTCACATTTGTTCCAACCAGTTTTATGTGCATTAACTAAGCAAGTATATTCATTTATTCTACTTCAAGCCTTTTCATTATCTAAAAACTATTTTAAAATTATTGCGAATTGTAATTCTGAACAAAATTAGAGAATAGTGTGAATAAAGTTATTGATAATAAAATAAAGAGAACGGATTGTATAATCATAATGAAAGTAATACATAAATGCTTGAACAGTTAATCGTTATGGACAAAAAAGGAAACAATCGGTAATCATTATGTGAGAGAATTCTAAGTGCTAATTTATGGGCGTTTTAACGATTACCTAGTTAATTATTAGTATGCCCCTGGTTATTAATTTTATCATTAAGAAATATTTCAAGTTCATTCATACTGCGGATTCATATTAGTGTGTATGTATGACTTGACACAGACAGACAGACAGACAGATACAACGCAGAACTTCGTACATAAATACATCAGTTCAGGTTGCCATACCACGTCAGCACAGAGACGTAACTATCAGTTCAAATCCAAGAGTGATAGCGATAGTAGAAGTATTAGCAGTAATGGAGAAGATTAGGGAGCAAAGAAAAGTTTAATTCAGGTAAGATAAATTTAGAAGGAGAAAGGTAGAGATGATGAGGAATTCAGAAGGTTAGAATTTGAGAGAACACAAAGAATGGATGCACCTGCGCCATCGCAAACGATTTTGAGCCATGTCATTCAAGGTCTCTAACCATTGGTGACTTTCGTCTCGCGGACCCCAACCAGATAGCCTACTTGACACTTAATTAAGCCAATATCTTTCAGAATTCTCATCAGTCAATAATATGCAATGATCACTCAGTGTTATTGGTAATATCTATCTTAAGTTATGACATTGATCAGTGATTATCATTTGCAAATCATCTCATTTTTACTTGTTATGTGTAGTATAATTCAAATTTTTCCAGGTTGCTTCATATTTTTTAAACTTACTATTATCCTATATCGTTTATTTGATTATTAACACTGACATTTTAAACATACATTTAATTGATGCAATCTTTTTGTTTGTTTTAAAAAATGAAAATTTAATTACAGAAATATTGTTGGACTAAGAAAAATTATTTTTTCATGAGAGGATCTCTTCATTCTTTTCATATTGGTGGTCAAAGGTAAATTTGTTAATTTTTGCAACCAACATTGAGTAATACATCTAAGCATGTAATATGCACTGTCGTATAACGTTTACGTTTAGTATTTACTCTTCATTAAGTGCTATATGTATTCTGTTAATTTCGTCGCCGGGTTGATGTAATGTGACAACTTGGGCCAATGCTTTAACTGTACCAAACTCTATGCTGTGATAATAACTGATTCATTGTTTTTAAGCGTAAAAACTTACTTTTCAACTGTTTCTTCTTAGTTTCGAGCTGTCTATCAGTGATCGAGAACACAATCTCTACATTCAGCTCTTAAACAAAGGTTATTCCAACGTCAGTCAGTCAGTTACAATGTAGAACTTTGTACGTACGTACATCAGTTCAAGTTGCCAAACCACATTAGCACAGAGACGCAACTGTCAGTTCAAATCCAAGAGTGATAGCAATGATAGAAGTATTAGCAGTATTGGAGAAGATTAGGGAGCGAAGATATGATTCGAGAAGTATAATTCAGTGAGATAACTTTAGCCACCGCTAGCTTTCTTCCAATATACTCCTACACCGAAAAACATTAGAATATGTCTTGACACAGCACATTAGTTTTAGACTACTGAATAAGAAGAATTGGACAATTTAGATTTATAACATCAGTTAATTCAAGATATTTCTTGATTCTGTAAATTCATGAATTCGATCTTATCATTCATTATTTTTTACCTGATTTAATTTTCTTCGAATATTTCCAAAAGGCTATAATAAGCAGTATTATTATTTCATTGGAACAGGATATTAATTTCAAATCATCTGAAAGATTCTTTCATTTCTTACTCTACTGACAACAATTACAATGTGATGACATTTCTTGTGTGTTATTTATTTATTGGTTGATGATTTCAATGTGTAAAAAACACTAATCTCCTTAACTCTAATTGGAAAATCGTAAAATGTGACTTGCTTCGTGAGGAAATTCTGGGAATTCTAGTAAGAAGATGTGACCAGTGGAGTGTGTGAGGTCGCGCAGAATCTGTAGATTGATTAGAGTTAGACATTAACACCGTTGGATGCCGGCTCAGTGGTTCAGAGGTCAGGTGTTCGCACACAAGACCGAAGGTCCTTGGGTTAGAATCCTGCGAGGTGCAGGAGTCGTGGATGCGCACTGCCACTGATGAGTGCCATACCAGGACGAAACGGCCTTCCAATACTTCCAGGCTTCTAATGGTGATCTAACAATGATTGATTGATGATTTCAAATGTGTAACAAACACTAATCTCTCCATAACTCTAATTAAAAAAAATATTTATTTATTTATTTATTGTTTATCTACTACTCTAAATCAGCGGACGTAATGCAATCTGGTTTGATGAATCATTGAAATATGGTCGTAGTGAACCAACTGATACATTTGACAATCCTGTACTCAGTGGAAATTTACCAGATTTACAATTCTCCAATTTATCCATTCATAATACATGCAATAATAACAACAATAACAATTTGATTATACCAGATAATGATGATAATCCTAAAAATCTACATACTACTACTAATTCAAATGAATCGAATTCCAATGTAACCTGTTCATCGACACTATGTGATAGTGTTCCATTCATTATTGATACATTTGAATTATGGCAATTAATTAGTTGTTAATTTGAATGCAAGAAAAAAGAAAAAAGACAAATGAATTGTACTAAAGTGTATGATTGTATTTGATTTATTGACTGATTGATTGATTGTTATAATCCGATTCATTTATTTAATAAATAATAATAAAAATAAAAATAATAATAATAATACTGGATAATATTTATTAAATTTCATGACAATTGTTTGTGTATAATTTCTTCTTCTTTTTTTCTTGCTGCTTCCATGGTGTACACACACAGTGTATGTACATATATGAAATATTGTTGGTTGGTTGTGTGTAATATTTATCATGAAGAAAAAGAAAACACACAGTGGCAATCGATTTTTTTTTTCGATTAAACAGTTGATTGATTGATTGATTGATTAGTTTCTTTTTTTTTTCCTTTCTTCATCATTCCATGATTGATGAATATGGTCTTTTATTTCCTTTGTGCTTTTTTTTTTAGTTTTGTAAAATAGATTTTTCATTGTTATTTGTTTATTAGTATATGAATAAAATAAAAGACATGCCACACTGTTGTTGTTGTTGTTGTTGTTGTTGTTGTATGATTATCCACAGTAATTTCATTGTATAACAATGGAGTATTATAGGCTGCCGACCAGTATTCTTCAAACTACTCTGTCTTGGACTTCTCTTTCCAGTCCTGTCCAATTTCCGGTCATTGTTCTAATGTCTGTTTCCATTTCTAGGTGTAATTTGTTACTTGACCTTTCTGTTTTCTTTCCTTTGTGCTTAAGGGTTCCAAGTGAGGGCTTGTCTGGTGAGGCAGTTGAGTGCTTTCAGCACTGTGTGTCTTATCCACTTGCAGCACCTGTTTTTCACTCCAACCATGAAGAAGAAACTGCCTCACACTTTATACAACATACTATATAATATGAATTATCTAGCCACATATGATGTTATCAGTAATTTGTTTTTCATACAATTCAATTTCGACTACGGTTGGATCATTTACACCTTATGAAACACCTTATAGTTAGTTGTATTGGTTTAATTGTGTTCGAAGAGTCTTTCAAAGTATAAGGGTTTACCTAGTGTATATATCAGCATGTTTTAAATCTGTTTAATTTTCTCGGATTTCTTGTTCTTGTACTATATGTGTTATGTTCTCCTCTAGGTATGTTAAAACTATTACGGGTTCACCTTAGTCGAATAATGAGAAAAAACAATGAACCTGGCGTCCAGGTAGGCTACTATGATCCCTCGACCTTATTGTACCAGCAAGAAGCCTTGATATAGCGTAGAAAGTGCATTCTACAGACACCCAGCCAGCACACAATGAATTTAAGCACTCAAATTACATTTATTTAGACTTCACAGATACGTCCTTGGAACAGTCACAAAAATAGCACACTAAAATGACACAGTAACCAATCACAGCGAGGGATATTCCTGGTGGAAAATGTAGTCTCAAGATCAACTGATCAAGCGAGTTCTGGGGATCCAACATTATGTAAGAAGGGCTGTTTGGTTATTGAAAACATCCTGAGAATGTAAAAAATGACCCTTACCAAACTAACCGTGCTTTGATTAACTCGCGAGAATTTTTCGTGTTAAATTGAATTAATTCCAACTGTCAAACTTCACCTAGTGTATCAATAAATCTGATTGTGCTATTAATGAATTAGCATTCTTTTAACTACCTTGTCAAAATGCATCTTCTTTGAGTTGTAGGCTTTTTCCTAAGTGTTGAATACTTAATGTTACTCTCGTTCAATTTTCTGATTAGTAGTTGGAAATGTAAGAGAAGTTTGATCTGAAAGAACAAAAAAGAATGGATGCATCTCCGCCATTGCAAAACGATTTTGAGTCATGACATCCATTGGTTAGCAGATGGATATTTTTCGTACGTCATAAGTGACGTAAGTTGGTCAAAGTTAGTCGGATCTTCTGTATCCGTGCTGAGATTTCGTTCGACACCGGGCCTTCGGCTCTGATGAGATTCCCGAGGTAGGTTAAGCGGTCGACATGTTCAGCTACTTCACTCCCTATCACTAGTTCAGGTGCTGATACAAGCCAATCCTAATGCGTCGTTGAGGGGAAGAAACGCATCCCGATAATTGTTGCGTTATAACCTGAAGTCGTTAAAAGACTGCATTATGCCAGCATCTCCACCAAATAGAACTATGTCATCGGCATACTGTAAGTAAACAAGCGAGTCTCCTGGTAGGCGGTCCACCCCTGAAAAGTCAGGCAAAGATAATTTTATCTTGAAAAGCATGTCTACGACAAATTTCACTAAGAATGGAAAGAGTGGACATCCCTGACGGACACCACTTGAAGTAATCGATCCTGACGACAGTTCGCTATAAGCTCTAACTCGACTAGCAGTGTTCGAGCAGAGAGAATGAATAAGTGTAATGTACTTGTTTGGTGCTCCTTTAAATGACAGACACTGTCACAGAACCTGATGACCTACACAATTGAACGCCACCTCAAGGTTAAGGAAGATAACTTTTGTCGGACTTCAAATGTGTATCTGTGTTCTACCACCTAACGAAGTGTGATTATCTGGTCTATACATCCACGTTCAGCTCTAAAAGCAGCCTGGTTTTCTCAACTATGCTCTTCATGAGCATATTAAAGTTTCATCATTTTGGGTACTATATTATTTAAACTGATTTCTCTGTGATTGTCACACGAAGACTTTCGTCCTTAGTGATAGACTGGGACAAACAGTGATTGCAGTCAGTCGGATATGATTACATCCAGTTATCAGAATTGATGAGCCCACATAGCATCACAACTGTTTCCCAGTTATTTCAACCAAAATGATGTTCAGTTTAGAATTTATCATAAAATAGTATGCCTACAAATAAGCTGATACAATATGATGTTAGATTCTAACCTTTAGATATCTTTTGTGCTTACATATACAACTTGCTCATGGTTTTAGTTAGAAACAATGAAAGTGAATTATTTTTATCTCGCATTTTATACATACCTCTTTTAAAAATCTTATGCATGATTCTATATTAAAACCTCTTGTCGTTCATACAATTAAACTTTAGGAAAATTAACTTCAAGTTTACACTGGACATGAAATTTTTTGTACTTTAACTATTTCTAAAAAAAGTATCAGATTGATTGATTGATTGATTAGAAATGTTTTGAAGCTGTTAGAAATTATTATACACAGTTAGAATCATTTAATATAAGTGTTAACTAAATACGTTTTTTGTATTTTGAATAAGGAGAGAACAAATCTGTTCCACCCTGTCTAGAGATTTTTGGAATGGTAAAATTAAAACACTTGGAATGTTATTAGAATTATAATTTCTATCTTCTCTTCAGAAACATATTTTTCTAAGGTTCTAACTAACTAACTATTTCTAAATCTATGATATAAGTTGATAAATAATGCCCAAATATCCTTAATATTTTTCGTAAATTCGAAAAGTCTGTATTTATATAACTTACTATCGGGAAGTGTTCACTGAAGTATAAACTACTCATCAGTATCAGTTTAGCATGAAGAACGTGAGGTGTTCCAAGAAAAATCCTGAAAGAAAGAAGCGAAAATTTTAGTTCTAGGTACTAATCGTTACTGGAGAAGCACAGTGGATGAGTCTGAATTAGAAAATATCAAATGAATTTATCGAGAATACAATACATACCTTGCTAATCATCACCTTTGATAAATTTCAGATATATTATTCCTCTTCTAACCTCATAGGTTACAGACTCTCACTAGTTATTATTTATTCATGAAGTTACCTAAATTGTAAGGTGATTTAGAACTATAATGATAAACTTTTGCATCGTCTTTGTAGAAAAACTTCAACTGTACTTTCTGGCTCTTAATTTACTTGGTGTTGACACAATGAGTAGCTATAGTTCAAAGTTATGATCAAAGATTTAATATCCAAATTATGTAAGGATTTAACATGGAATCAATTGTCCTGTGTGAAATGAATGTTGGTAGTGCAATGAATGGTTCACTTCTGATAAGTAGGTTATTTACGCGATAAACTAACTTATAAATGAAATCTGTTCGTTGGATTAGTCTTTCATAAACCAGAAAGACTTCTGAAAAATAAACAGGCAAATGCGTCTATTGATTGAAAATAATGCAGACGTGAATTGACACTGAACTACCAGTGATATAACGGGAATATTTTGATGCTTTTTTATCCATTATAATAAACACGACAGCTAAACAAGTGACTAGAGATTACACTAGCAATGAATTGGATACTCAAACGACACACTGCACAAAGAATAGAAGATCACGTCAAACTAGATACATGATTTAGGCAAAATTAAAGCGAAGGGTTAAGCGATAAATAATCATTTATTCTACAAAGTTACAAGTATTCACTCTCAGTGAGTCTGGAATGAAAATCACTAAGAGCAAATGTAATCAAATGTTTGATAGTCAGTGCCTCATTTGTCCACTAACGATGATCAATCACATTTCCCTTTCACTAACAAACATCAACTACTTAGGATGATGTTTTTGACTAGGCAAACGTAAGAATATTAAAAGGTGAGAAGACTATTTAGTAAAGCCTATTTATTTCAATCAGATAAGGTAACAGTTTTCCATACCGAACTATAGGAATGATGTTGTAGGGATTGAGGAAAAACAATTAAAATACAATCTTTTTACAAAACATATGAGTGTCTGATTAGGCGAGACATAAAAATCTACCATCATAAAATAACTAAACCCTAATTTAACTACTCACAAAACATTAGGTAGAGTATGAAAACTGAACCAAAAAACAACCACATATAATTAACAACTTCCGTAATACACTGAATAACTAGTTCAGATAAACAACTTTTGATGAATATTACATTGAAAGAATACCACAATGAAAATCAAGTGGTAAAACTAAGTTAAAATGATATATATGATAGGTAGATATATATTGTACCATGAACAGGTTCTAATGACTTGAATATGACAAACATGAATGCTTCTTTAAGATACTAGCTTGTGGTGTGACGATTTAATGCGTGTTCTTAATGGTCGGTTTACAAATCAGAACATGAACTCGTGGCGATGAATATGTTTATTCGGGACACACCACAAAGCGAAGCGAATCGGAGGAAGCTAAGAGCCAACTCAAAGAAATAGAGCATGACTAAAAATATATAGTCAGACAAAAATCAGGCAGACATATGACAAGCGAAATAGGCGTGCACACACATGAATAAAAGCGACGAATGATTGACAAGGTCAAATGACAAGTGGAACATGTCATGTGAGCTCATACAAACCAGACAATAGTAAGAACGAATGGTGCATATAAATTGTTGTTCTACAAATGGCTTGGTTAAATAAATCAATCGAAAGGGCTTAACCAAGTTAGATGTAAGCGAACTGGAATATATGTGGAGGCACTACAAGCTCTTAACTCAATGTTCTGATTGACATTTCTGAGGAAATGGATATCGACTGCAGTAAACGTGCAATGTATAGGAACAATGAATATAGTGTTCTATATTCTATTGATAAATCAAATACATAGTGCAACAGAATTCCGATTATATTAGCTTGCCATTGTCAAACGAGTCACTCACTTATTCTTTTGCGATGTTACTAATTAGGTTGACGTTCGTTGATTAAATATCCTTCAGCTAAATGAACCAAAACTGATACATATATTATGTTTGTAGTGATAATCGAGCTTCTCATTCAATACATTTTTGAATATCCACTTTTTTGCACTATAGGTTAAAATTGCCATCAAACTGCTTTGGCAGAGAGTAGTAAACTATTCTGTCACTAGATGGGCGCGCAACTGATAGAGAGAGATAAGACGAATCGACCGCAGTTCCTGATTTGATTAACGAACAAAGACACATAAACAAACGCATATCCAACTAGATCACAACACACAAACAAAACGTTTATGTTACAATAATTTTTTAATATAACAGCATGGCAGGGAATAATATATCAAATGAATACTTAAGAGGTTAGTATCTATCACACCACACCACCGCCACCTTAAATAAGCTTCAGTCTTCGGTCACTATTTATCTGTTCAGTTCCCTCTGCACACCATAGATATGTGTATTTTGTGCTTGAAAATGGGATAAATAACGCAATCCACTTACATTGCAAATGTGACATCCCAGATCTATTTTATCTGGTGAATTAAAATCATGCCAGCATTTTGCTCAACAAGTTGGCTTGAGCTTTTTCTAGAGGAATGGTTGTTGGTTGTTGAATTTCGTAGATGAATATTATTCTTATTTATGGGAAGTTTATTACATACCAGATAATTTGAGCAATTTGAGGTTTCTGACAGTTCTCATTTTGACTGCCTTCCATAATTCTTTCTTTTACTTTGTTATAACTTTATTGTGTTGCCAGAAAAGATTTTTCAATAGTTCGTCACAGTAATGCCATATAAACTCGTTAGTAACACTGAACAAATGTTTCCTTCTAACCTAAGTCAGTTAGCCATCATCAACATGAAGCCTGGTGCGATTCAGCATTAACCTAATATGCCATAGTATATCAAAACGATGAGATGAAATTACCAAGAGAAGTTGGAAAACAGTCGAAATTCTTGTAGCATTAATTACAGTTAGAAAAGTGGAACACTGGAAAATTCAAATGGACCAGAAACGAATAGTTTTTGACTCACGATCATTGAAATAAAAAGCAAATGATTTTTAATTGAAAAACAACATACTTACAAGTTAAATAAGTTTCAAAGTTCACTGAATAATAACTTGATCGGTATATAAGTTTGTCAAAAATTATCAGCGTTTAAATCTTTTTGAACTTTACACATCCACCATGTTTTTTTCAAAACTTAAGTATCATTTATGAATTTTTCATCTCACCAAAGACATACTATATCATCTATATTCTTCTTGCTAACCAAGCTGTCAGTGTTGTGTGCTTCACTTGATCTGACAAACCCTAGAAAATATTTATTGAGATCATGAATCGATCAATGCTAGAACATCATTAGAAATCTCAAAGAATTGGACAACATTTTCGTCCTAATATGGGACTCATTGGCAATACGGATCTACGACCCTCGCACGTGGGAATTGAACCTATGTACGAACGCCTAACCTGTCAACCAATGAGCCGACATTCGATGGTGTTAATGTCTAACTCCAATCAATCCACGACACAGTGCGAACTCATCCATTGACTTCGGTTGGAATTGTTTCACACCTGATAAGGTTGAAGTTAGACAGTAACACTGCTGGATGCTAGGTCGGTGGACCAGAGGTTAGGCGTCCGCTTGGTTTCGATTCCTGCGAGTGGAGATCTTGGGTGCGCTTTATCATCTATAATCTTGTTTACCAAGAGCTGTCAATATGGATTCATAAAACAGTATATTAAATAAATTATAATTTTTAAAACCAACCACAATAAGAAAAGAAATACTAAACCGATAACAATCGTTTTAACCTTGTTCCAGAAAATATACAAATTATTTTTAGGTTTAAACTAATTTCATTGTTCTTTATTTTTTGAATTTTTCATTTTCAAATCATAATTACTATTATTCACAAGACATTCAGCTGATTAAAGAAGGTCTAAGGTGATTTTGTTTGTCGAGTTGATTAAAATACTTTCAAGTAACAAATAGTTAGTTGACTGTAGACAACGATAAAAAAAACATGACTTGATTTATATTTTATGAACTGTTCTAAAACTGCATTATTCTAATTTCAAGTCAATAGGTTTACCGAAACCCTGATCGCACCTAGTGCATTTTTATTCATAACAATACATTTAAGCTAGCTAGTCCAATAGAGAATAGCTACATGGCTGTCTGATTCAATTTTGTATACTCATCAATCGATTGTATTTGAGTTATGAGACTTTAATGTATTGATATCTCCTAAATATGCTTTGAAAAAAAAAAATCATAAATGATGCATTATCTTTTGGCACAACAAAGAATTATTGTACGTGAATAGATTTCATTTTGTAGTTCTGTTGTTTTATCTATCCATCACATTCTCTACAAACCAGATTTGATCTTTATGATTTATTAGACGTTATGAATCATATATATTATGTCTAACCAATCTACGTCTTATATTAAGTGTGCAATCAATCATATACTGATAAAAATTAATTGATTTATCAATCAGAATTTTAGGAGATCGGTTCATGAGGTAGAAACATTTGTACTCCGTATTTTCTACAAACATATGGTCATTTAAAAAAATGGCTTTCTTCTGAAAACTGATTCAGTCGGAATTCTATCCGTAGATCAATATGAAAAACTGACTTTTATATCTAAACTGGTATGTGTTACCTGAATGATATAAATGGGCTTTTTTCTATGTAGTTTTCTCGTCTCTTATTATTCATGCATTTGCAATGCTTTTTTTTTCCACTGGTTCGCTTTTTGTGAACAATAGTCATTTAGACTAGATTTTTTCTCAATGTATCAAACAACCAATCACTCTAATTGCAGTACATCAGTGAATCTTATCAATTTACAGCTTGATTGTTTTTATCCTACACTCATTAGTCCATACCAAATAAGTGCCAATTCTTTAATCGACTCCATTAACTCTATTGAAGTTTATTAAAACATGTTCATACTTTATTATTTTTTACCTTTATATTTTATCAGCACCACAAATTAGTTTTCACTGTATTTCACCCAATTTATTTCGTTGTTAGACATACATAAACAATAAACCATTTGGTACATATTGTTTTTCATACTATTCTAAATTGATCTAACTCAAACAATCACACCATAAACGTTAACACATCTATCTGTAAACACGGAAGTATGAACTAAATTCATCCAAATAAAATTTTATTGGGCTTTTTTTCAATATCGTTATCGCACAAAAAAAGAGATTAGTCGAAATGGAAATTCAAAGGAAGATTTATTTCATTGGCATAATTAACCTGTTCGTCCAAATAGTAGTCAGATCAAGGGAAACACTACTAAAATAGTATGATCAGATTGCATACTAAATAGTTTTAAAAATAGCTTTGAACAAATTATATGAGCAAACAAAGCATACTGAATTAACTACCAAGTTTTACACAAACACATATGATATAAATCATAATAAAATACAATATAAATTCAAGCGATTTATATATATATATATATATATATATAATGTTTTTTTTTCGATCACTGTACATTCTTCACAATTGAGCAGAGAAAATGATGAATAATGACATTTAAAAATCTCATTATAACCATACTATAATCAATGTAAAATTGTATAGACAGAGTGATAACCATATTATTTAATTGAATAGAAATAATGATACATACAAATTTGTATTAATAATAATAATAATAATAATAATAATAATAATAATCATGTGTATTTCACATAATCTTTTTTTGACATTGATTGTGTATTGCTTTACTCACAAACCAAACATATATATTTGTTGTATGAGTAAAATATGATGATTGTATTAGTAAATTACTACTCATAGTATATAGAGATACGTTAAAAATAGGATAAATGTCTAATGAATTTTTATCTTTCTTTTTTTTTTTTAAAAAAAAAAAACAGGATAAGAAAAAAGTGAATATTAAATGCGTTAGGTTAGTTTCACTGTCATTAACATCACTAACTTACTCTACACATAGTGTGATGATAAAATACTACTTACTAATTATACTTACAAATATGAATATAGATAAACTGAAGCATAAATAAGAATAAATTAAGTACAGAAAAAGATTTGGAAAAGTTTTCAAAAGAACTCAATGTACAATTGAATAGGAAGATATATATATATATATATTAATTAATATAAAATGAATGGATAGACGTACAATAAGAAGAGAAAACTTCAAAAGAATTTCAAACATCATAAAAATAAAGACACCGTTATATAATATACACGGTGTCTCTATGCATCTTTCTCCGTCAGTATACATATTCCGATATACACAGTGATTAAATGTAAACGGATTTCATTTACACAACTAATCAATCAGTTATAACTAGAATGATTGTTTATACAGAAAATTTTGATTTATGCTAATGGTGAGTATAACTTGAATTTCGTACCGACTGTGTTCGAATCGAATCGACTCGATGGTAAACAGTGGAGGAAACTGACGAAACACGACGTTGATTCTCAGTTGATAGACGACTGGGTGATGATGAAGAAGAGGAAGATGGTTGGTGATAATTCCTCATAAATGGACGGTTGTAAGATAAACTTGACCTATGGATTGGGATAGAGGTTATGGGCACTTGTCGAGGAATCGGAATTCCTGTTGAATTTGTTGTCAATGGTGTTGTTGATGATGAAAGATTAAATGATGAATAAGATTGCCTGAAACATTCAGGAAAGAAAAACTACGTGCGTTTAATTAGTTTTAAAGGATATATATGGTACATGGTTAATTGTAAAGTAACTTACATTTGAATAATACAGTAGTGTTTGTGTATCAACAGAGATTAGTAGGAAGGAGTCGAAAATTGATTGACTGAGTTTTGTTACGCCTACACGTAAACACGTCATTTTGATATGCTTGAACTATTACGAATTTACCTAGTCGGAAAACGAGAGCGAGGATCCGGTGACACGACATGATACTCAAATCCTAGTGTCCCAACCCTCATATTGAGTAAAAATAAGAAGACTTGATATGAAGTAGAACCTGTATTCTACAAGTACGAGGTCCGAGTCCAGAAGAGAATCAGGATCCAGGACTAGGGATCCGGGACCCGGTCCTGGTCATAAAACGTTACAGATAATGCGTATTTATACATTTCGGTCGAATAGGAAACAGTATTGAAGTCTGTGACATTGACAGTTAAGATGACCAATAGGAAGCAACATTGGAGTACGTGACATTGTTATCAAGGACGACCATGAAATTGACCAGTAGGAATTGACCAATAATTCTCTTGGGATATTGGATGAATATCCTAACAAGTTTAAACATCCTTATTCCTGTAATTTGACAGTAGTCTCAGTCGGACATTGTGTGTATCGAATTGGTTGTGCATGTGCTAGTGTTTCATATGGCAGACAAGATCAATCTAAGAACAGTGAAAGTGGGAGCAGTCCACAACAGTTGGAGCCATCTCCAGTGTCGTCATGTTATCAGTTTGGTTGTAAAGTGTCGCGTGTACAAAGTGTGAGTGACTGCAGTTCTAGTCTGTTCATGTGGCAACTGATGCCTCAGAGCTATGGATGCTTGGTGACATTCTGTGTTTAGTCATAGATGCCTTTCCAGGAGTGTTCACACCAGGTTAAAACAATGTAAGTAATACTGTCGGCTGCCAATGCGTGACGACTATTCGGTTAGTATAGCCTGTACATCAAAGTACGACAAACGCGTACTGATTGTTTTTTAGACTGAAATATTTTCTACCAACTGCTAATATCTTTGTTCATCAATGTATGGATTATGCTAAATCTCATTTTATACTTTCTACAATATTGACATCCTAAATGATGTAGTGATTGCTTTTAATTATAAGCACTGATTGGTTAATTTATGTCGACTACTGAGGAGTTTAATGTAGTCGAATCTGTCTATTAACTATGAAAAGATATCATCCTGGTGCATTAAGGTACAGTGTGATTTATTTGCCTCGTCAGTACAGTCATGCATTTTCAGCATTCGGCAACATTAGTCATATTTTGTTGCATTCAGTAAAACTTTTCATGCAGTTAAAACAAGTAACCATACAACAGAGATAATTTAACAGTATAGACAAAAAGTAACGTACTGTCGATGTGAAGAACCGGTAGAGTCTGTTGGTTTTTCCAACAATGAACTGTAGCCACTGGAGGAGGATTGAAATTGTGATATCCTAGGAGTAGAAACCGAGTAATGTGATAAATAGTTTTTTCCATTTAAAGTAGACGAATTTTGTAATGCAGATGGATATGTATTGTTGGATTCTTCCGCATGCAATTCTTTCAAAGGCGTTCGTATATATCCGTTGAAAATTCGATTAGTTTGGTTAGCACTATCTGAAGTAGAACTATATGGCCTATTTCGAATTGGTGGTACATAACATGAATTTGGAGTTGTTGTATCCATATACAAAATTGGATTGTTAGTGGGATTCGATTGAACAGGAGGTATACGCACACGTTGCCACTTACTCACTTCACGTTTCATTCTGAAAGGTGAATGAAATTGTCCGAGTAACATTCATATGACACAGAATATACAGTGCAATAAATTTATGACAAACATGCAACAGCATTTCAAATAAATTAGGAAACAGAAATTTAAACACTAATATCTTTCACTTTTATCATAAACACAGCATTTATCTCAAAAATTCGGTTAAGTGTGTGAGTCTACTTCTATGAAGCAGACATATTGATTGCTTACCTTCTTTTAAATAATGTTTGTTATCATCTATGACCATGCAGGTTACTTTTTCATTTATGTATCTGCCATTGAGTCATCATGAAAGACTATATTAATGCTGTAATTTTTATAAGGAACTGCAATCAACTGTCTTATTTGAACGAGCTTTGACACTAACAACAATGTATGATCCACCAATCATGAAAACATAAAACCAGAAAATATCGCTTTACGATTTTATTTGATGCAAGTTGTCAAAAATGCATCAGTCTCTGCAATTATAAGTATTGTTTATCGAATGACAGATAAAAAACCGCACAGTTTCGTAATGAAGCAGACAGCTGATAAACTTAAGCAGTGCACTATGTTCTTAAACTCAATACGAGAGAGTGTCAATCTTTGCAGTTTTAATGAGAATAATTCATTTTCCTTTGAAGTTTTGGTGATATTGTAGCTTAAGTGAAGTATATCATTTGCAAAAAATATCAGCAGTACACACATCCAATAATAAAAGTACCTTCCAACGGCAAATCAACGACAAAACTGATGGAAAAGAGCCACAAGTAACTTGACGATGTTACTACTTATGATTAGTGTGTTTATAAGCTCTTCAATAATCATAGGATGTTCATGTTTATAATTCGTTTAAAACGATGTAGTGATCTCACATTTAGGAAAACACGATTGGTTAAGTAGAAACATTAATTATTATAACCAATGGTTCTAGTGGACGTTTTACTCAACATTTTGTTTATTCGTTCGTTTGTACCCGACTTGCTTCTGCGCGGTCGCCATCTTGCTTCGACTGCTTTGTACCTTTTGTCCATTTTCTCTGGCACAATGTCGGTAATCTTTCGATACTGCGAAATCACCAGAAAATATACTTATTCATCTGGATAATCCCAGTCTCGTTTCTCATCGATTCGCGGCGGTATTACGCTTAAGACCCGAACCTAATTGGTTTGTAGACGTGTTGTTAGTCATCCTTGACTCGAACCACTACGACGGTATCAAATTCAGTCGATGAAAAACAAAACATTTTGTTAACTTGAATACACACGATACTTAAACTCACCTATGAATAGCTTGAACAACACGACCTATTGTACGGAATCTTCGGACTGGGTTTAAACGTACTCGTGGAGAGGCATATTTAGAATCTATTTGTGGAGTGAGTCGAGATTCAGGACATCCTAGAGCTGCAACTACATCATCTTCACAATACATAAAATTACCCAAAAGAAGGAGTAAATAACGTTTTTGAAACGCCAATGAACGGCGATAGCTTTCAGCACGACGACAACGAGCGTACATAGAAAAAAACTGAAAATTTGGTAAAAAAAATAATGAAACATAAACGCTTTGACTACTGGATGACGTAACAGCACAAAACACAGTATACTGGTAAAAATTATAAGAAAAATTATATCTTACACATTCATGAGTTAACGGAAATATTCAGCAAACAAAGCTATTGTCGTGAAAACTAACTACTTTATTTATTTACAGGATACAAAATCTCTTTATTCGAATCATTAATAAATACAATTTACATTATATTTAAACCATCCAGTTGTACGTAGACCGAATCAAAAACTAGTGAACATTGAATGCATCGACCAGTTGCTACCATTGATAATCATCACAGTAAAAATTTTATGTCTATTCGTACAACCTAGTGATGTTTTATAGTCAGTCCAAAAACTCACTAAACTTATCAACTTTATCATGTACATATGGAAAAAGTCATTATCTGATAACAACAATAGTAGATTTAGACATTCCAGTTGAGACATACTTAAATGAAACTTTAATTTACAAGAATTTATCGATGATAGAGAGACAATTAGTTTAATGAAGAATAACAGCTTCATCGTAGAAGAAAAAAAAAGAAATTGATATTACTGACTTAGTTGTAAACGTGAAGTAAATAACAAGAATAGGTAATCTGACCACTTCGTTGAACTTCTAGTGTTCTCTGAGCTGGAATCAACTCCTCTGACATCCACATTCTGAACAACAAATATTTCCCATCATCTCATAAAATATTTTTTTTCGAACATCAGACATAATCAAAATGTAACTCATTCACTTTAGACAGCAATCCATTACCTACAAGAATACCATGGTTATCATTCTTGTCATTCATCATCCATGTAGAAAGAGCAAATCCTAACAATGTCATAATAGGTGAAATTTCGACAGAAATGTTCAATCTATTTGAATTGGTTACATTTACAAATGAATCCATAGTTTTCTCATAACTAGTACATGTAGCTTGAATCTGATAAATTAACAAACAAAACTGTATGCAATGTAGGAAAAATTGTGAAACTAGATTTTAAATCATTTCATCAAGTCACGTAAACAAACATATCTACCATCTAAAACATAATTGTGCAAAATATCCACGTGAATGATTAGATTAGTAAATTTATCATTACAGAGAGTATTGGAATACTTACTCGTTCTACAGACACAGTTGGATCAACATGAACACTTGGAGAGGATGATATCACACTAGTTGTCATAATAGATAAAGTTTCGACAGGATTATTCAACCTATTTGAATTTGTTACATTTACAAATGAATCCATAGTTTTCACATGACTAGTACATGTAGCTTGAACCTGATAAATTATTAACAAACACAAGTGTATGCAATGTATGGAAAATTGTATCGAATAAGTAATTAAACTATTTAAAAATTATCCAGCATGCAATGGACATAATGACCAATTTCAGTCAATATGATCGAGAATAACATTGTCTGTAAATAGACTTTCAAAATTAATAAGTTAATGCTTAGTGACATGGGAGCGTGACGGTAGAACCCAAGAGACAAACGGATTAGGTTTGACGTGTACGACCTTTTAAAGAAACTTTTAAACGTGATAGCTCCTCTCTTCGAAAGGAGATGGAAATATGTGGAATGAGGGTCAACCTATTCTAACACCTTCTTTTGAAGCATCGTTGTAGCTGCTGGTTGTCCAAGGGAAAAACCATAATGTTGTCACACCACTTTACAGTCAGCTGTACTAATTCATCCTCAGACCTTAAGTTCATACGTTTAGTTTCACCGTTCTCCAATAGACCTGCTTGGCATAGTAGGACCTAAAGTAACATATGTTTCAACCTAAATAGCTCGTCTTAGTCATCACGATGGGAAAGCATGACCACCAAGTGATGATATTAGTCATTTGGAAGTGAAGCATATAAAATATGTCGTTATAGAACAATTACAGTTTATCTTATTGAAATAAATTGAAGGATTCAAAGAAAGGGTCATGACGAATTCAGAAGATCAGAATTCGAGATAAGATGAAGAATGGATGCATATGCATCACTGCAAACTAGGCCATGTCATTTAAAATTTCCTTCCAGCTTATTCCTTCATTTGATAGCATAGACCGTCAAGGTAGTCGGTGGACGGAGAAACGAAACATGTCTCGACTAGCCCAAATGATAACGACCCACTTCTTCATCAATCGATTTGCCATCCTCACATAGTACTTTTTTCCTACCTTCAGAATTGCTTACTCAATGATTCCATAATACAAGAACAATGCTTCGAAGACATCTATGATCGAATACTAATAGCCTACGAATATGTTCTATTCTTACTGGCCAAGTTTCGAAACCATAAAGTAGGACAGAGTAAACTGCTGTGCAGCACACTCATCCTTTGGTTAGCGGACATAAATCTCACCTAAGCCGTAAGTGGAGCAGGTCGAGCCTTCTGTAACCATGCTGAGGTTTCATCACATAACAGGCCATCAGCACAACGTAGAACTTCGTACGTACATATATCAGTTCAAGTTGCCATACCACATTAGCACAGAGATGCAATTGTCAATTCAAATCCCATAGTAGTAGAGATAGTAGAAGTATTAGCAGTAATCAGATAGATTAGAGTTCGAGGATATTGTTCAAGAAGTAGAATCTAGTGAAAGAAACTTAAAAAAAGAGATAAAGAAGATGAGGAATTCAGAGGACTAAGATTTGAGAGAACACAAAGAATGGATGCAATTGTGCAATTGCAAACGGATTTGAGCCATGTTATTCAAAGTCTCTAAACATTGAATACTATTATCTCGCAGACACCAACCAGGTAGTCGACACATACTAACATGACTCAATCCAGTTGTCAGTGACTTCATGGATTTGTGCCATGTTTTGGTTGTCCCACGATACACGAGCAATGCTTCGGGGACACCTAGGATCGAAAACCAGCAACCTACGGATATCTTCTACTCTTAATGGCCCCCAGGATAAGTGGTCAACACGCTCAACTACTTCACAACCCATCACTAATTTAGGTGCCGACGGAAGCGACATTTTGTATTGCGAGAGAAAAATAAGGCATCAGGAACATGTTCGCATTGTTGCCTAAGGTGTTCAGAAGACTAAGGGTTTTAACAGCGTCTCGAAACCGAACTATGTTATCGGCATTCTCAAAGTCTTCAAGCGAATCACTTCGTGAGGGGTCAACTGCCGAAAATTCAGATCACGAAAAATTCGTCTCTAAACGCATGTGGCTGATACAATTAAACAAAAATGGAGAAAAAGGACAACCCAGACGAACATCACTTGACGTAGTTGGAGGACTTACATCAACTCGCCATTCAGGTTGACTGAAGTGTGGCTGTCATCCAGTTAAAATGCTCTTAAAAATATTATGCCCATTGATTCCATCTCCTGGATTGAGAATAAATACTAGTCCCTACTTTTTTCGAAATAGTTTCTCTAACAGTAGGATTCCTCATCCCAGTCTCCTTGATTAGTCTAGACTGTTTGTTGTCCATCACTACTTTTGCCTCCTCTCCTCATGGTGTTTATAGTCAAACGGGATGATTTATGAGCTTCCATCAGTCCAGTAGATGTTACCGAAGTCCAATTGACTTTCCTAATCTTTTACTTCACCTTCCTGGCAGATATAACGGCTGTTCCCCCAGCTTTTTAGATATTATTCCAAGATGCCACGAGGTAGGCATCAATTACATGGCTGCCTAACTATTTTTCTAGCTGTTCCTGAAATATATTCTTGGCTTCGCTTTCGTTTTGTAGAACTCTAATGGGTTTCCTCGTTGTGTCTTTCCCTCATCCAGTAAGACGTAGACAAATACGCGCTCCCACAAGAGCATGATTTGAATTTAAGCATGTGCTCCAAAAAGAGCGACAAGCCTCTATCGAGCCTCTCTAGTGGTGGCTGTTAGTTAGGTCAAGTGATAAGTCGACTTTGAGGGTCGTCATATCAAAAGATGTTTATCCTTATGTTTAAAGTTGGTGTTTGTCAGAAGTAGGCGGATATCTGAGCATAACTACATTGGACAGTCGTCATTTTCTATCTGATGAGCCGCGAAACTATAGGATCCACCCAACAATCTCTCGATTTCACTTAATGCTGTACGAGCACCAGTGAGGCCATGGGAAGCAGCAGAGGGCCTTCCACATACACGAAGAATAAATCGCGACGAGTGTTTATTTTCCCAAGGTGTGGTCAAATGAATGTTTCTGTTTAGATCCTGGATGAGAATGGATATTCATACAGACAGTAAAGCTATTAGGAGGTGGAGCAAAGATTTGATTTCGAGCAGATCAGTCTCATGAGCTGTTACGGATATGAGGATGAATGTCACTTCTTGGTTGCTCACACCCTATAACGGTATTTCTTGAGAATGCTAAAGAAAAAGTTATAATAGTGTTGATCTAATTTACCTGGAAGCGTGATCGCCGAGCTCGAACAACAACGGCTTGAAGCCAATCGCGCACAACATTTTAGAGGAATTTCTCAACGTGTCAGGTCCGCTCTTAAGAAACGCCTTACAGCCGGAGACAGAAATCTGTGGGGTATGGTGAGGTGTGACATTTTAAGAGTCGACCTTTTCTAATCATTTTCGTTTACTGTAAAAAGCCAACATCGCTGCATACGCTGGTCTTCCGTAGGAAACATTTTACCACTGGAAAACCCATCTAAAGTCAATGGTACGAGATCGCCATCGGACCTTCAGTTTCTACCTTCAGTCTAACTGTTCTGCAATCGACCGGTTCGATGTAAGAGGAGAGAAAGGAACATGTTTTCCAATCAATATAGCTCAATCGGGTCACCTCGACGTTAAGGTAGTGGGCACGATTGAGAAGGTAGTGTTTTAAAAAATCTGAACTTGTCAGATTTAGTTGGATTGATTCTACTTCTAAGCAATGATGAGTACCAGTCATTTGGAAGTGAAGTGTATAAAATATTTTCAGTTACAAAATACATGCCAGTATATAATAAAAAAAATTGAACTATACAAAAAGATTTCTCAAACATATTTTGAAAC